CAGAAAAGAAGGAACACAGTGAATCAAGAGACAGAAGTGAAAGAAGAAAGCGCAGGCAAGAGGACCTCCAGATAAGGCAGAGGCATTGGAGAGAACAGGAATTTATAACCCAGAGAACACACTTAGCTGAGGCTTCTCACGTGTCTACTATCTGTGTTAGAATCCTCTGGGTTCAAGTAAAAGAATGCTCTGTCCCAGTCATCATTCATGTTTCTTTTAAAGGCACAAATTCCAGCATAGGCAATTTCGATGAGAACTGAACTATTTATTTACTGGAGTCTTACTTATGACTGTTGTATTCAGGCAAGAGAAAAGATCCGGCTCACACAGAAAGCGGGACTGGCTTCCTCTCTCCTACGACTCCAGAGGGGGCTTCCGTCTGACCCAGAACGAGAGCCAGTTATAAAATCTCGGCAAGGCCAAGGGCAGCACCGCTCAGCGAGGGAAGCCATAAACCAGATGGAAAGACATCCTCGCCCCGTACTTTCCCAGAACGTATCCTCAGGTCTGGGGTTTAAATCACTCTATGGACCAGTTTCCACGTCTGTAAACAGGTGACCGGGCATCCACAAATTCAGAACTGCCAGGAGGAAAAATAGGTAAGGTGATTAGACACACTGGCCACAGGAAGTGCTGGGTAGGAACCTAACAGCCCGCACACAGAGGCCAGGTGTCTCTGCCAGGGATGAGAAGGGCCCCGGGGAGAGGACGGGGCCTGGGAGAACTCTGGTCCCCACCTGTCACCCCAGCTCCCTGAGCGGCCTGGGCAGGACCTTTCTCGGGATCAGTATCTCCGGCTGTGAGAGCTGTGAGACCAAGGGGCAGCCCACCTGTGTCATCAGACCACAGGGAGCAGAGCAAGTGCTTCTTGCCATGGACTGTCCATCTCACCCCGGAAACTGTCAGCAAGGGACAGAAGGGGAGCCAGGTAAGGGCTTCTAGCCGCCTCCACCTTCAAGGAGCTGGGAGCTAAAGCCGCTGCTCCCTCCAGGGCACTAGGTCCTTCCCGCATGTTCTCCAAACCTCTGTGGGAGGTGAGGCTGTCTCTGGGGTCTCCTATTCCTTCTACATGTCCACACCCTTCTCCTCCCCTAACCCCAGCCAGGCACTCAGGCCCCAGGTGTGGTCACCTGCTGCCCCGAGTAGCCCTCTGGCTCTGCCTATCCAGGGAAGCCATGCCCTTCCATGCCCAGGAACTTATCATCTACCTCCTTCCACCGGGACTCACGTCCAGGGACCCTGGAAGGAACACGTGTCATTGGAACCAACTAAGCATTCATCCCCTTTCTAGCAGAACTCAGGTCTGCTTCCGAGGAAGGGCTTCTCCCACCCCCAGCCTCACCATGTGCGGTACTGGTGGGACAGTAAACACACGTGCTGGCAGGTCCCTGGCACCTCCTCCAGGAGGGCACTCCCCCAGGGCCCTGGGGACCCTGGGGAGGGCAAGGGGCCTCGTTCTGGCCAGCCATGCAGGAGCTAAGAGGCCCTTCTCTTTCCTTTTGCCCTCCCGTCCCCCGTCTGGATGCAAATGCAGCCGAGCCCTTGGACCCCACAAAGGGAGGAGCCTGGGCTCCTGAATCGCCACATGGACCTTGCTCAGCAGCCAGGACACCCTCACTGGACTTTTACAAGAAAGCAGCTTCCACGGGGCTCAGTCACTGAAATGTGAGGTCTTGTTACACGAGCTAAAGCCTCCCTGAGGACCGAGGTAAATGGCAAAGACACTGAAACATCGCGCATGGAAGGGTGGATGGTTCCAAAAGACAAGACTTGTCTGACATCATGTTCTGTTTCGCTCTGAGTGTCCACACTGATCCGTCTCCCAGCCCCCAACCTGAAACCCAGTCCCAGTTTTATTTGAAGTCACAAACCCCCTACGACTGTGTCCTGCAGTCCTGGACTGCAGTCTCCAGGACTCAATCCTCGCCCTCGGACTTCCCTTCCTGCTGGCCCTCATCCCGCCTCTTCCCAGGCTTCAGGCTTCGTGACACCTGCACTGACTTTTTCTCAAAAGGCCCTGGGGGGGCGGGGACCTTGGGGAAGTTTGGGGAGGAACTCTATGGAGACACGCCCAGACAGCTGGGTGGGCTGATTCACTGCAGAGAATCATCAAGGGCGGAAGCATCACCCATCGCCCCCAGAGCCAGCAGGACTGGTTGGCTGTCTTCTTCTCTCCAGGTTTCATGACGCTTAAAAGTCTAGCATTGCTCAGGTCCGTTTCTTTGCAAACATCGCTTTGCGGGTGCTTTCCCCCGCGAACTCTGAGTGTCAGTGCTACCCTTCAGCTCAGCTAAGCCTCTCTCCCGGGTCCTCCAGGTGAGCGGGCGGCACCGCCTTCCTGCCCCCCGGCCGTGTGGGAAGGCTACTCCCTGCCCTCCTGCACTCCCTCTCCAGCTGGCCCTGCGTCCCGTCTCTTCTTTGAGGGACTCCTCCTGCCCCACGTCCATGCAGACCAAGAGGACGGATGTGTGGTGCTTCCAGAAACCTCCCTCCTCTCAATGGCAGATCTGCCGGGTTCTGCCATCCCCCTCCCCCAGTCTCACCGTTCTCAGCACGCTCACAGGACCTGATACCCTAACACAGGTGGCGGGCACGGCACTGGAAGGGAGATCAGTGTGTCCGGTGGCCCTTCAGTCCACGTTCACTGAGCGCCTGCTGTGAGCCCAGTAGAGAGCAGGAACCCAGCCTCAAGGATGGGGAAGCAGGCTCCACCCTGCCCTGGGGGAGCCACCGTCACCAAGGTGGCAGTCATGGCATGAGGCAGCCGGGGTTTTCCAGAGCCTCACATGGGGTGGGAAAGGGCTGGAAGGGGTCAACGGTAGTGGGGAGGGAACCCAAGACTCCCACATACAAAGCCAGTCCCTCCTCGAGTCCAGGGTGCCCTGGGCTGGCCAGCTGTCAGCCTTCTGCCCTGCTTTGCAAGGTGGATTCAGTCCAGCAATACACCACTTGATGTGACGCAACGCTTGGCTTGGCCAGGGTCCGTGGATGAGGCCTCTAGGTCCTTTCCAAACTCAGCCACCTCAGGTCCCCAAGCTGGAGACCCTTCCACTCCTGGGCCACCCAAAGGGCTGGGTCTCCCCAGGCCCCTCACTTTCTGGGGCTCCCTATGGTAAGCAGCGCCTTCTTACGTAGGAGGGTGTCTTGCCCAGACCAAAGTCTCTCAAACCCTCTGTGGGCAAAGGTCACGTTTTTATTTCGATTCTGCCGCCCAGGGACACTTGTGTGAAATTAACAGTAAGAAGTTCCTAGAAAAGTGGAAGGAAGAGAAGGACATACAAAATATACACCTAAATTTTTCATAATTAGCCTCCATAGACATAAAATTACTCTATGAAATTGCCATGGAATTTTGTAAACACCCTCCATCTATCCTTCTCTCACTGCAGAGGGTAACACGTAGTTGTGTCTGGCACGACCCACAGAGCACCCTGGAGCGATGCTGCCCCAGACCAGGGGTGAGCACACGACCCCCCAGGCCGGCCAAAACATCTCATCATCTACGTGCTCTCTGTGACTGCCCTCATGCTCGGGAAGCAGAGCTGAGTAACTGAGATGAGCACTGCCTATCTGGCCTTTTACAGAGAAATGTTTGCCGACCCCGCCCTAGGCCATTTCAGGGGACGCCGTCCATCCATCCATCTCAACACCGCTGGTCTGCTCGAATCTATGACTACTCACCTTCTCTTTTCTTATTTTCCATGAGAAAATTACATCGGTAATAACGATGAGATGATATTCACTGAGGATATTAGTCTCCTAGGGCTGCTCTAACTAATTACCACAAACTGGGTGGCTTAAAAGCACAGGAGTGGATTCTCTCACAGTCCTGAAAGCTGGAAGTCTGAAATCAAGGTGCCTCCAGGGCCAGGCTCCCTCCAGAGGCCCTAGGAGAGGATTCTTCCTTGTCTCTTCCAGCCTCCGCCAGCCTCTCGGGGCTGCCGGCGTTCCTTGGCTTCTGGCTATGTCACTCCAGCCTCTGTCTCCTCTCTGTCTCCTCACGGCTTTCTTCCCTATGCATCTACCTTTTCCTGTTCTGCCTTTTTCAGGGGCATCTGTCGCTGGACTTAGGGACTATCCGCATATCCGGATGATCTTGTCTCAAGATCTGCAACTTAATGACATCTGTCATGACCCTTTTTCCAAATAACCCTGGGGTTCAGTCACAGTCACCGGTCCCTGGAGTTACAACCTGGATTATCTTTACCTTTCGGGGAGGCCACCATTCAGCCCACGACACCCAGTGTTTGTGCCAGGCGGTTCTCAATTGAATATCATCCTCCCAACAGGTTTATGACCTAGGGACTGTTGTCCCATTTAATAAATGAGTAAATCACATCCCCAAGGGAGCACAGAAGGGGCAGACCCAGGATTCAGGTCCAAGCAGCCTGGTCCGGAGCCCACACCTGTAACCACTGAGAACACCCCAGCCCCGGGCATCACGGGGGCCACTCACTGAGGGCCTTTGTTCCCCGCACTGTGTGTGTGTCGTGCCCTTTATTTCTCACAACAACCGTGGAGGGGGTGGACCGCAGGCCAAGCCCTGCAGCTGGGCCTCCCCCAGGCCTCGGAGTCTCGGGCATCTGCCCCAGATGGGAAGTGGGGCGGGAGCGGCACCCACCTCTCAACTGCGTGGCCCGGAGCGGCACTTCCTGTTCACAGCCCGCAGGTCAGCACCAGACACACCCAAGGGGGCCTGGACCACCTCCCCACAGGTACTGAAACTACTTACAAAACGTCCAAAATGCTCAGGGTTTCGGCACACAGTTAGCATTGAGTCATTTTCAATGAGTAAATGAATGTATGAATGAATGAACAAATGAATGAAGTTAACCAGGGGAAACGAAGGTGCCTGCACAGCTTGGTCAGCTGAGGGAGTGGACAGGTGTAGCCCAAGGCACTGCTAGCCCATATTGGTGATTTCCTGCAAATTCTTAAAAGGCACCCCCTTCTTCAAGACTTCCATTTATCAAAAAATCATCATAATAGACCAATCTTTGTAGAACAAGACAGTTTACTGCCATCTACTGTAGTAAAATATACAAAGCTGCACCCTCTGTGATGTCAGTGGTGCCCCCTGGATACGGGCACCACTGTGCAATGCACAACCTGCACAACTGTACAGAGCAGCTCTGAGTGTTGATGGTGAGACCAGATGAGCAGCAGTGGCCAGGCCAGTCAGCAAAGTGGAGTCCAAAGGTGTGAGGGGATCTCAGGAAGGACCTAATGCTGCTGGTATTCGCCCCCCATATTTTAACTGCTGGTGGAGAAAAGATATGGGGAGTGAAGCACAGGCTTCTTGCACCCGCAAAGGGCAAACATGTCTAATTTCCAGACCCCGTGGTCCGGAAATGGGTCAACCAGATGCCCCAAGGAGCAATCAGACGCATGCCTGTGGGGCTGTCTTGAGCCCTGGCTGGGCTCTGGTTTTGGAAGGGCAGCCTGGCCAGTGGATGACTCCAACCGATGGCAGTGTCATATTGGTTTCAAAGGTCTGTGTGACACCAGGCTGCCAGAATGGTGCTGACATGCTGATTTTGGAGATTCTCACTCATGTCAGACACAGGACAATTTCAGGGTTCTGAGCTCCTGAAAAGCCACTGCTGACCCGTGGACCTGAGCCAAGTGTGCAGGTCTGTGGATTGGTTCTTGCGCATCTGTGTTCCACCCACAGTGCTGCCTCTGGTCCCCAGCACCCAGGGACAGCTGGGGTGTTAGCAGGTGTCCTTTACCCTGGCAGGCGGGGTGGGGGGGTTCGCCCCAAATCTTCTGCAGTCTCCACGCCACATGGCAGGCGGTCCTAAGGCGGCTGCACCCATCTCCTCTTAAGACTTCCCCAACCATTGCCTCACAACACCGTGGGGCTTTGAAGACATCCTCTTCCAGCTCCAATCAACATGGTGACATCACACTCTTCCAGGCCAGCCTTTTTTATTTGATGTTTTTTTCCTGTTAAACAGGGTGTGTTGTTTTAGCAGTTTTAGGTTCACAGCAAAATTGAGCTAAAAGTACAGAGCATTCCCACATACTCCCTGCCCCACACACACAGCCTCCCTCACCATCAACATCCTTTCGAAAAGTTTTATGTCTATTATACTTTTTCACAAAGGAAAAATAAAATCAACATCAAGGCACACTTCACAAATGGGTGCAGAAAATTATGAGAACCACTGAGCACTTATAAGAGTTCACGTGCACACACACACACAATGGCCGGGACATACAGAATGCTATTTTTACAAAGTCTTCAGCTCTTGGATAATTCAGGATTTGTCAGGCTTCCTGGTTATCTGAGAATACCTCGTGCATTGTCTCTGGGATCACTCAAGAGACTGTCTGCAAACCTTCAGGTTGACATTTTTACAGAAATGACAGTAAATCTAGTGGGACTCCTTTATGGTTGTACTTCCCTAGGTACAGGATGAGGGAGGAATACTCCCTGAACCAATGGACCACTCTTCTCACCCCGTCCTACCCCTGGGTTGTGGAGTGTAAAGCTGTGATCAACACTGAGAGAGAGCACATCCTAAGAATGCAGTGATGAGCATCTAAAGAGTTAAAAGACGCAGTTGGAAGATGTGCTCTTCTACCTTTATGCTACAAAATTAGTATACTGAACATGACCACAAAGAAGTTATCATCCAAGTGTTACTGCATTCTCTGGGGCAGGGTTGCATTTGTAATCATCACTGACAAAGCACAGTAACACCCTAGAGATTGTCCCTGGAAGCTAGTGTTCCTGGACAGCTCGAGGGACGATGTACATCGTGAATAATATAGTGTAACCAGCCCTCAGTAAGTGGTCCGGGGAGCTGCACAGGCAAGATGAGCTGTACTGTTTCAACACAAGCAGGTTCCAAAGAGCCATGTGTTGTGAGTGACCACAAGGTGAAGGATGTGGAATAATCAGGGACTGATGCCTTTGGCCATAAACACAACGAAGAGATGGTGCCTAGACTTGAACAGGAAGAGAGGGTGCCTGAAGAGGAGGAAGCACCTTCACACGCACTGGTTGGAGAATAAGTAAGTACGTAAGTATCTCTTCTCTACCGTGATTCCAAATCTTCGTTGATAAATCAATACACCTCAATGGGCCCAAGCATTTTTAACATGTTTCAGTCAAATTGTTAATATGGCCAGAGGCCCCACGAAAGAATATTTGCCCAGGATCCCACACAACCTATGGGAGGCCCTGGTAAACACCACAGTAAACACTTCTTGATGGGCCTAAGGAAAAGGAACTAATAGGCTCACAGATGAGAGCTGGGAGAAGCCAAGAGTACATCAGAGGAAAATGGAGAATGTGATAATAGGATGGAGATTTTTAACAATAATAATAATAAAGGATTGATAGTATGGTTTGCATTTAAGAACAGTTATGTTGTCCCTATGTCTTATACTTTGGACAGAAGAGAAGAAAATCAGCTCTACACCTTGTCAGAAAATAAATACATTGAGATTTAGAAAGTATACACGCAACCCGGGACATTTTCTTCTCCAATAATATATCACTAACCTAGCCAACAGAACCAATAGAGACATTAATATAGGTTTAAACAAGTATATCTCCTAGGCAGATCCTTAAATTCCTTTAATGTTACATTAGGATATAAAATCGCTCATTTTAATGGGTTAGTAAATGCATAGTCCTTCAGAAGCCCCATTGACAAAAACACAACATAGGCAGAGGGAAATATACTGTTATTTCTGCTCTGGCTGTATTTCCATTTCCTAATAGCAATAATGAACTTGAAGCATTGCTTTTGCATACAGATAGGCCTAGATTCCTGTTTCGCTGCGGCTGTACAGTTAAGCACGTCATTAATGTGCACTTCCCAGCCTCAAAACACAATTTAAAGGCCATTTTATGAAGAGCCAAATTACAGCAATGTACTTAAAGCATTAGTGCTGAGGCTTTTCCCAAAATTGTTGCCAACAGGGCAAGGTTCTATGGCACATAAAAGTCAATCACAAAGTTTTGAGCTGTTACAGCTCATGGATCCTGGCTGTTCTCTACATTTCTTAATGCCCACCCCCCATCCATGGCATACTGCCACCCATTCCATTTCCCAAGCCTTGCCACTGTCCCTTCCTCCATCCCCCCTCCTTGCTCAATGACCACTGGGGCCATGCACAGCACTGAGCACCTGTACAAATACAGGAATGCACAGGACCTACCCTCCAGCAGCTCAGAGGCTACTTAGGCCACCTGGGAGGCAAGTAAGCGCAACACAATGTGAGTATCACTGCCTTCCTGTCACCGTGAAGACAGAGAGAAAAGAACGTCTGCCAGGGCCCCTTTGAACCAAGCCTTGGTGAACATGAGTTCAACAAGCAAACGAAGGCACGGGGTGTGAGAAGTGGCATCCCCAGCAAGTGTCAAAGCACAAAGGTACGTTTAAAAACAAAACAAACTCACAAATGCACAGCTTTCTCAGGAAACAGAGGCACAGTGGCAGGTGGTGTGGCTGAATTGTAACACAGGGGAAGGGGTTGGAAAGTCAGGGCCAAGTGATGAACATCCTTTACTGTGAATCCAGTTCACCCTGCCGGCAACTGAGGGCCACCAAGGAGGTTTTACGTGTTTTGTTGGTTGCTTGCTTGCTGCTGCTATTGTTTCCTTGCGTAGGAAGAAGAGATGATAAGTATTCTGTAGAGCAGCAGTGTGGAGCATGACTGTGATGGCGTTAGAAAAGAGGAAGAACAGAGGCAGGGAGACCAGCTAAAGGCCATCCCTGTACTTGGGCACCAACCCAAGTTCTGAGTGGAACTGATGGACAGAGATCCGGGGCTGTGAGTGATATTTAAGAAGAGGATTCACCTCGGGCTTGGTGTCCAAAAAGGAGAGAGGGACAAGTTTCTACCTTGAGTAAACAGACAAAAGCTAACGCCATTTTTAAAACTTCAAGAACGTCAAAGAAAACACAGATTTGAGGGGTCAATAATTTTGACTTTGGCCATGACTTTTGTCTATCCACATGGAGAGGTCCAAAGGTCAAACTGAGGCAATTTGCAGGTGTGGAATTTGCATGGGTCCCAAGGGAGGGGTGAGGAGGACACAAGAATGGGGCAGTGGTCTTGCCAAAGGAAGCCAAAGCTGAGACCCTTCCCCCCAAAGGGGGAGACTGGTTTAAAGACCTTAAGGAACACCTAGAGATAAAGTCTATGAAAGTCAAGTGCTGTTGGCAAGGGCTGAACCCAGGAGAAAGCATCAGGGGTCACAGGCCTTGGAGGAACTGGACTTTCTGCCAGGTCACAGAGCAGGGTCATAAGTGAAGGGAGGAGGTGCTGGGGGCTGTCACACGTGGGGAGGAAGGGCCAGGGGTTGGTCTTATCAAGTCGGGTATGGGTGGGACGAGTTCAACTGAAGATGCATCCACAAGATGGACCCCTAAAGGGCAAATGGAAACGTGGGTCTAGAATTCAGGAGAAAAGTCAGAGACACAGGGATGACTCCAGTAGTTCACACAGTAACTCACCATGTGCAGCTGGGCCCCCAGGAAAGCCCATGGGTGGCATTTACCTTGGTGAATTCTCTGCGGTCTGGGGCTGGCCTCCAGCTGGGCAGCCCAGATCTGTGCAGTGTCAGAGGGTGCGGGGCTGGGATGCTGACTCACACTAACGAAGCAATGCCATGTTCAACTACACCCAGACTTACCAGTTCACAGTGTGAAACATAACTGTCGAGTGGCCTAAAGCCCCTGTTTAGTGTAGCCATTGCGTTCTCTGTCTGTGAGTAACCTGGAGAGAAGGTTACTATGAGCGGTCACTTGGTGAGCAGGGAGTCAGGCCCTGTGAGCTACGTGGTCTCCCATGAGGTGGGAACAGCCTGGTGGCCTGATGTGCCAAAGGCCCCCAGGTGCCCCTACCTGGGTGTGCCTGACAGGCACGGGGAGCATTAGTCCCGCTCTTGTCTCCTTTCTCTTTGTTCCCCTCCTCCAGACGAGGTCTCTGTTGTGTCTCCATCAAATCACTCCCTAAATCCTACCCTATCACTCCAGCCTCAAGAACCTTCCATGCTCCCTAGTACCAAAGAATGGAGCCCAAATGCTGTCCCAAGGCTGCCCAGGGTCGGGCCACATGCCGCCTTTCCAGACTCACCGCCTCCAATATGATCGCACACATCCATTCACTACAGAAGGCAGTTAGTTGCTGCATCCCTGTCTCCTGCTCGCTCCGTGAGCCCCGAGTCCTCCTTTCGGTGGTACTAGTGATGACAGTCCACATCAGCTGAGCCTCTTCTCTGCTCCAGGCACTGTGCGAAGGCCCGCTGAATACCTCTGGGTCCATCTAGTCCTCCATCCTGGGACATTAGACAAGCCTTTGAACCCAGCCCTGAGCCTGGAGTCTACACTCTCAAAGATTCCACCACAAGTAACTTACATGTCTGCACGGCACTTACGTGGTCCACACGGCACGATGTTTATTTAATCAACAAGCGAATAGTTTAGATCTGTACTACGAGAAACCATGGATTAGAATCATGAAAGTGAGACACTTAAAATTAAATGCTTTGTTATTTTAAAACCAACTATTTTCCTTTACAATAAAATGAGATTGTCAAGACTGCTTCCCTAATTTTATTTATTTACTGAATTTTTTGGCCATGCCACGCAGCTTGTGGGATCTTAGTTCCCCAACCAGGGATTGAACCTGAGCCCACAGCAGTGAAAGAGCTGAGTCCTAACCACTGGACAACCAGGGAACTCCCTGCTTGCCTAATTTTAAAACCCATATTAATTTATTCTGTACACATCTCCTTGGAGGTGTAAGATTGCATTTCTTTTCACACATTCTGTCATTCAGACAGCTCCTCCCCCAGATCTCCAATGTAATCTGAAGTGACGAGGTTTTACTGTGGGAAGTGATCTCCTGCTGTCATGCGGCATCATATAGGAGTTAAGCATCTTGACCTGAGACCTTGCCTTCTTGAGTGTAAAAGTTGGCTC